CTGTTGTGAAATGGATTCTTTAATTTCACCGACTAGAACTCAGTACTGGTTTTCAGCATGACTGGAACTAACTCAGCACTGTGTTCTTTTTGTAGGCATTTTCGGTAGCACATCAGAACATACTGGGCTTGCTTATCAGCGTTGTTCCGGCCCTCACGGGACATATTAAGTACGGGATAACAATACTTCAGAACGAAAAGATTTAATTCAGCACTCTGCTCTCTGTTTAACCACGACCAGCTTTACTTCAGAACATAGTGGGCAGATAAAAACTTCATTGAGGATAAAAGGGAATCATGGAAGAATAAGTTAGAATAAGTTTAGAGTTGTCGTAAGCTTTTTTTCTGCAGATAGAATTCTGGAAATAACTAAACGGCCACTCACTGAAATATGCAGTGATAGAGCTATGTAACTCTCTCCGGCGGCTACTTAGGTCAAACATTTCTTTTAATTCCCCCTATTGTCGTCCGAACTCCCCTCAACGGTGAAACTCACGTAGTCGGTCTGAACAACCCTGACTGGTTTTGGTATCACAATACCTATGGCCAGGAAGCGAAATGTTGCCGAAAACCTTGTAATTTCGGCAATTTCTCAAAGACTACGGGAAACTATCCCCCGGCACACATAGGCAGTAACCATCGCCGGTGGCACTAGTCGCTTTTTTACCCGTGATGTAATCAACCAGACTCCGCACTTAGTGGACAAAGGCGTCGAAGTCAGCGTCCTTCCTGCTACAGCAGCAGATCGACAGAAAGAACCTTTTTCAAATTACAGGTTGTAGATGTAAAACCAATTACAACCTTTGGTAGGAAGTACGTCCATATGAACGTAAGTTAACGCAAACCTATTCGGTAGATTTTTCTTCTTTCTGACGTCACAATGCCCATCATTGGAACAGACCTACTTAATCATCATGCTTTACTCGTAGACGTCCACCGAAAACGCCTGATTGATAATAATACTACTCTGTCTATTAAAGGCATCACCTACATAGGCCCAAGCTTGTCACTCGTTAAGAAGGCAACTTTTGATCCAACTTTTCGACCTATTGTTGATAAATATCCGGAACTTCGTTACCCGTCTGACGATCTACCGCGCATAACCAGAACGACTTGACCGTAACATTATCTGGCGCGGCTATAATCTCTAAAATCGACCCGGTTAAAGCGTGTAACCAAATCCCGATGGCAACAGAAGATATCCCGAAAACGGCTATCATTACGCCTTTCGGACTTTTTGAATTTCTATGTATGCCATTCGGTCTCCGGAATGCAGCCCAAACATTCCAACGCTTCATCGATGAAGTATTTCGCGGTTTTGACTTTGTATACGCATACTTAGACGACTGCCTCATTGCCAGTCCAGACAAGGAAACTCACCTTAGGCACTTGGACTTGGCATTTGAAAGGTTACGCCAACATGGTGTTACCATCAACGTTAAAAAGTGCCAAATAGGCGTTGACTCACTCGACTTCCCGGGTCACACTATTGACTGCAAGGGCACTCGTCCACTGGCTACTAAGGTCGAGGCTATACTGAACTTTCCAGAGCCAGAGACGGTGAAAAGTCTCCTCACTTTTAACGGCTTGGTAAGTTATTATCGACGCTTTATTCCCAACTGCGCCTCTCTGATTCAGCCATTGACAGACCTCCTTCGAGGGAATAACAAGTCCATAGAACTTGACGCATCTGGTCGAAATGCTTTTACGCAGGTTAAAAAAGCTGTTGCGAATGCCACACTTCTGATGTATCAGGATCCAACGGCACCGTTAAGTATCTCGGTTGATGCATCGAACACTGCAATCAGCGGAGTTCTACAACAGCTAGTTAACAAAGAGTGGCAACCACTCGCCTTTTTCTCGAGGCGCCTTCAATTAGCTGAAACCAAGTACAGCACATTCGGCAGAGAACTTCTGGCTTTGTACTGTGCTATACGTCTTTTTCAACATTCAGTAGAGGGTCGTGAATTCATAATTTTACTGATCACAAACCTCTGACATACTCTTTGAACTCAACTTCAGATAAGTATTCACCCATGAAATCATGACAACTGGATTACGTTTCACAGTTTACATCGGATATTCACCATGTATCCGGAGCAAACAACACTGCGAGAGATGCCTTGTCGCGCGTTTGTTCCCTCACCCAAATCGACAGCATAGAACTTGTAAAACTGGCTCGTCTTCAAAAGAAGATACCGAGCTTCAACATGAGTTGTCGAGAACAAATCTACAATTAGCTGAGAAACCGTTAGGTATGGGAAGAGATACTATTCTACGTGACATTTCTACGGGTATCCCTAGCTCTATCGTGCCTAAAAGTTGTCGCCGTAACGTCTTCAATACGTTGCATTGCTTATCTCACCCAGGTATTCGAACTACTGTCAAGCTCGTAACTAGTCGGTTTTGTTGGCCTGGTATTAATAAAGAAGCAATGGAACGGGCACACAAGTGCTTAGCCTGTCAAAATAGCAAGGTGATAAGGCACACCATAAGCCTTCTTGGCACCTTTCTTCTCCCTGACGCTCGTTTTGAACACGTCCATATAAATTTAGTTGGACCCCTTCTTGAATCCCATGGATATACCTATATTTTAACTTGCATTGATCGATTCACACGATGGCCGGAAGCAGTACCCATCAAGGATGTATCTGCTGAAACAGGTGCACGCGTCTTTGTAGAAAGATGGATCGCAAACTTTTGATGCCCATCTTCCATAAGAACTGATCGCGGGCGGCAATTCGAAAGTGACTTGTTCTTCGCCCTGACTAAAATCATAGGTTGCGTGCGATTTCGAACAACAGCCTACCATCCTCAAGCTAATGGTATGGTAGAACGTCTACACAGACAGCTGAAAGCTGGTCTGTCAGCTGCAAACAACACCCATTGGACTGAATCCCTTCCACTAGTTCTCCTAGGGATACGAAACGCCTTGAAAACCGATGCTGGTTGTACTAGCGCCGAGCTAGTATATGACACGACACTGCGACTGCCTGGTGAATTTGTTTTTCCCTCAAGCTTCCCACCAGTGGTAGATCACGCTTCTTACGTCAGCAGGCTTACAAACGCCATGCGTTCAGTTAAACCTGCTCCCCTTCGTCCACAGTCCATTGATGTTTTTGTTCACCCGTGTTTAAAAACTTCTTTACATGTATGACCTCTGGAACCCACATACGACGGACCTTATAAAGTAATTAAACGTTCGGATAAATTCTTTGTCTTGGACAAAAAAGGCCGCGAGGGCACCATCAGCATTGACCGTCTGAAACCGGCTTACTTGGAGGGTAATCCTATTAGTGTAGAGCTCAACGTACCGCATAATCCACAAATAACCGAAGATCGTTTAGACCTCGATGAAGTTACTAGCACAGCGACAGCTACCGAATCTTCTGTCGAGCCCCCTAAGCAAACCCGTTCTGGACGCAACGTAAGGTTCCCAGAATATCTGCACACCTATATGACATAACGAAGTCGTGTGATTCACACAACTCATCCGTTTGTGGTACTAACTATTTTTTTAGACGTATCAATTTTTTATGCAGTGTCACTAAACACAAGTAAATTTTTTTCAACAGCACATGTAACAGACACAAAAAAATTTTAATTAGATGTATTTTTTTTCGGTGTTCTGAACTTAGCATTATTTTACTGTATGGTAAATGCACATCATTTTTTTTAACTAAAAAAGCTGATTTGGTACATTTTCCTCGACATGGTTCTTAGCGTTCTTGTTTTCTTTTCCAGGTGTGACGGGAACTGGACAGGAAACAAACGAAGCACGGGATCCAACGAACAGCAGCAAGGAAGCTATGTACAAACACCCTATTAGCATAGGCAGACAAACCAGTAGGCATGCCACCAAGCCGCTCGGAAGATTTTTCCACCCGCAAGGGAACCATCGGGTTTTTTTACTTCCGGCTGGTTCTGTCTTAGGGTCCTCACCGCCCCACTAGGGGGGAGTGAGCTGTAGTGGTAAATAATTCCCAAAAATTATTGACCACAGCAATCACTCAGCACTGAATGCTGGCCACCACTGTTTAAGTCGACCTGTTTAGCTGAAGGCTTCCAGTCAAGCATCCCCGCCATTTGGTACCCCGTCGTGTCACGCGCGTGCACGATCACTAGCCAGCTAAGCGTTCGTCTGATGGCTTGTTTTGGTCCCAAAATATATCACGTAGTTTGGACGATGAAAAATTGGCTTTTGCTCTGTCTTTGGTATGCGAGAACTAATAAGATGGAGGCTGTGTAAGAGAATTCCGTCAACCTCTAAAAGAGCTTATGCTACTATTGTAGACATCATACTGAAAACTCCTTCAAATTTTTCGTTGGGGTGACGAAGTAGATTATTGACTATGCAGTTAACAATTTGGAGAGTCCAACCCTCATTCCACCTGATGTCGCAGTGCAGCACTTCCATGTCGTATCTTCTCATATTTTGGGCACTCTGAAATGTCCCCCCAGCCTCATGCATTGTACGAACATTCCACGTCCCGATTTTTATTTTTGATTCAATAGGCTGACTAGCTTCTGGAGGGCTTTCACCAGTCCATCTCATTTCGTCGATCCGACTCCAGTGAAGAATAGGTTTTTTCGTATTTTCGTCCAGCTTCGAAGTTTCTGTGGCGGTTACGGCAAATTATCCCGGCATAGGATTACTGGTCCCATGTCCAACCTCCTTTGTTTTCCAGGGTGCACTATCTTTTTGAAAATTAGTAAACTAGTAAACTAGGCGAGATTACATATTATTACTTATCATTCCTAATTATTTTTTATCTCTCTTTGCTACCGCACGGGACTACCAACTGATGAAAACATCAAATGTGTTCACAACAGCCGCATTGCCTTAACATACTGGATACCATAAACCCCATATAAGTAATTCCAACACCACTTGGTGCCAACCGCATCCACGATACACTATGCAGATTACCTAAGATCGGGCACCATCCAACAAAGAAACTGACTGAGTTTAAACTAGCTCGTATAGATGACCTTTAAAATGCAGTATTACTGTGGCGGGTTTTCGAAAGGTGTGTTACAGCGTGTGCCAATTTTTATATTCGGTTATTTTGAATGATGTCAGGTTAGAGTGAAGTATTTTGACCAAAACGAACGACCACGAAGATGGAGGACCAATTAATCCACAGGGATATGTAGTTGCAGCTGAAATTAATCGAGTTGTTACATCTGTAATCTGTAATTATCGGCACTCGGCTACGCGCAGCATAATTTATGTCGATAAATTGATTTCCTTAAATTGGTATTGACTAAAATTTAGGACTCCTATGACAATCAACGTTCTTGACATTCTTAGGAAATTTAAGAAATCTCTATGTTGTGTAACTGCTACACTATTTGTTTTGATTTTATATAAAAATATTCTCAGACAGTGCATTTGGACTAGTTTAGTTGTTTAGGATTATTTTAATGGTTATTCTCGTGGTTAGCTGTGACTCAATGCAACTGGATGTTGTCATAAAGCCAGTTATGTCCACAAATACTAGGGCGTTTTATTGAGTATCAGTCTAGCTAGGGAAAGTAGCGGGACATGAGTACACAGAGCATGCCCATGTAGTTCATCTCTTGAGTCTCCGGCACCCTGCTGATTTCTTCAGCTAACTGAAAAAATCTTCAGATCAAATATGGAGTGTGCTGAGGAATGCACTACTAGATATCGGAAATTCCATTTAGTGACATTATTGTCGTGTGTTCATCTTATCCGCACCCATCAAACTTTCGATTGGTAGTAGGTAGTTGGGTCACTCATCGTGCAAGTTTTCACGACTAGCGTAATTCACATTAAGCCAAGTTATTGTTAATGCCATAGTTATTGTGATAGATCTAAAGCTAAGTTTCTCAAACGTATCATATGTCAATAACTTCTGAACTAACACTTTCCGATTGTAAGTGCTTGAAAAATGCAGTAGCACGATGTCCCGCACAAAATAATGCTGTGTGCTATTATTCCACGCAACACAAATTCACCACTTACTGACATTTTTCAGCATCATTTCATCACTTTAAGCTTCGGTTAAGCACTGCCTAGCATTTTTGCGACGCTGTGTCTTATTTTAAGATATACTGGCGTTTTCTCAAGTCATTTTGTCACTTTCAGCTGCGGTATTTACGCATTAGTGTAGTATCCATTAGTATTTTTCATCACTTTCCGCATTAGTTCAGCATATACTGTTCTTCAGCTCACCAAACATTCATTTAACATTAAATAGTATTTTGGAATTAGCTGTACATCATTGTAAGTTTGTTTTTTATCAGTTTATTAACATTGGAATAATTTTTTCCGGTCATAAATGTGAAAAAGCTAATTCAACTTAAGCTTCAGCCAGTGTTTTCAAATTTTACCCTGCAGTTCCAGAAAACCTTGTTTTCCGCTGTTATTTCAGAAGATTAACCTTGTGCAGAATCATCTTTGTATACTTGAAAATGGAGGTTTTGTCTCTCGTTAAGTCGTTCTTCGTTAGATTCTCTACAGCCTAGCGTTAACATTCTTGTTAGAACCTGTCCTCCCATGGATTGTTGTGTTATCCATCTTAGTGTGAAGACACAACATAATATTAATTGAGTATTTTTAAGATAAGCGAGTTCTTTCGAGTACCTTGAAGTAAGGTATCTTAATGTGCATAGTGTTTTTAGCGATATGAAAACAAATGTGCTATAAAAACTTCATAAAATTCTTCCCACTAATAAATTTGAATAAATCAAGAACGATTATTAGTGTTATAGTTGAGCACATTGACTATACAGAATACATTTACATCAAAAATCCTAAGTTTGACTAATTAGCATCACCAATTGCCAGTTAACAGCCTACACTTTGCTGTCATGTGTAGGATATATCTAGAAAATGTATATCAATGCCGCTCACTAACCGCTGCCGTATTTTTGAACCAGTTGACAAGCTAAATATTTTGCTTTCACGTAGTGGTGCCTTCTGGTGACTGACTGGTTTCAACATAGAACTTTGCACCGATGTTCAGCAGTTCAAGTCATCAGATTTCAAACAGCACACAAAGTAAGAGAGATGTAAAACAAAGATATAAGGCAGAAAGAATAGTAATTCCGAAGAACAATATATTTTCACTGGGTATTATAAGTCACAAGGAGTGGACGCATCTGCACCATCATTGAGAACGATTTCAAGCCATGTCACCGATTGTCTCCAGCCATTGGTTTTTACCGTCCCGAGAACCCCAACCCGCCAACCAGTCAGGAAGTTTACACCTTCCTACGTGACTGGCTGGCTTAAACTAACTGTTGTGGATTTCATTGACTGATGAATTGATGTTTTAGTTTGACAACCACCATTAGCTCTTTTCCAACCTGACCCTATGATAGCTGACTAACATTGGCCATTGTCGAGGAAGACGATGGATGGCTAGGTATGCATGCGTAGTCCATGTCCTAACTATCTCAACCGATGCAGATGCTTCACAGCCTCGTCGATTGATTTCCCCTCCATCCTTAGTTAGCACTCGACCGATTCTTAACCTCAATATTGCTCACCTTGTTATACCACTTCCCACGGGAGATAGTTTCCCACGCAGGCACCTATGATCAAAGACAGCTAGGCGGGCTCTTCATGTCTTCTACTTTCAGTGGCCAGGTCTCACTCACAGCCAGCCATAAAGGAGGACGGTTCGGACTGATGAGCAGTTCAGACTCCGTTTGGTCGATAGCCCTCCGGGTATCACGTCTACGCCAGACGGCATAAACTGGCATATGCGAGACGAGCCTTCCCTATCTGTGCAGAGATTTCGTCAGCGATAAACCCGTTGGGGACGAGGCAACTTTCCAAATAAGTGAAGTGGTTAACTAGCTCTACCAATTCACTCCCTATTTCTAAGCTAGGAGTCAATGTAGTCCAGACTTGTCCTGTAGCATCATCTTACATTAGACGGAGGAAGCGAATGGCATGCTAAACATTCGAAGATTTCTGCTCCTCAAGGTGTTCAGAAGACTGCTGCATTTTGTCAGCGTCTTCACCTAGAAGGATTATATCATCTCCATTTTCTAAGTCAACGAGATTATTTCCTGATGGTAACAAGTCAATCCCTGAGTCTTTGAAGTCAGCAGTTAGGGTTGATTCCATCAGTACATCTATGATGAAATCAAACAGAAAGAGGGACAGTGGGCATTCCTGACGGACGCCACTGGTTGTTACCACTTCAGATGATGACTCATCGTAAGCTCTTACCTGGCTGCATGAGTTCGAATAGAGTGCTTTAATCAGTGCAATGTATTTTCTCGACATTCCCTTTACAGTCAAGCATCTCCAGAGAACCTCTCGATCGACAGAATCGAATTCCGCCTTTAGGTCAAGGAATATAACGATTGTTGGGCGCTGGTAGGAATGCGTATGTTCTAGAATCTATTGGAGGGTGAAGATATGATCAATACACCCTGTTCCTGGTCTAAAGCCTGCCTGGTTCTCTCGTGTTTGTGCCTCCCGAGCACCACTTAGTCCACGCATGATTATTGAGCCTAAGACTTTAGATACTATATTAGTCAAGCTAATCCCTCTGTGATTACCACAGGAAGATTTGTCTCCCTTCTTGTAAATTGGGAAAATCAATGACTTAAACCAATCTATGATCCCATTCAGGGAGGTGTTGGATGTTGGGTAATTTGAGCGCCACTGCAGGCCAATTGAATTGCTCCTCAAAATGTTCTTTGCAACATTCTACTCGTCGGTGGCACAGTGGTTAGGACTCTCGCCGACCACGCACATGGTCCGGGGTTCGAGCCCACGCCGGCGCACACCTGATATCTATGGTTGGCCTGCAAAATTTGGGCTACCGATATCCATGCTGAAAATTCCATACTTGTACCAAAAATACAGTGTGGAATCAAGCTGTAAATAAAAAATAAAAAAAGTCTATTCTGGGAGCTAATTATGGTGTCATTTTTCTCAGAGATTGTTTCATTTGTTGTTCGCCTTTTACAACTTGTATCTCGGGTAAGGCTCAATGGTTGTCTGGCGTTACCAGTCGCCGATGCCTCTTCCATCTCTTTCTGTTTTGTCGACGAACACTGTTCACGGTTGTTACGATGACTTCTTGTCAGTTTGCGTTTGAATAGTTTTCGCTCCTCATCATAAACGGAATCAGTCTTCTTGCGTTGGTCGGTTTAGATGAGGCGGTAGAAATCCAATGGCTCTTACTAACTAAAGGTTTCAGGTTATTAACAGCTTTTACATGTGTCTACAGCTAACTGTATGTTGTACCAGGTTACCTCAGGAGGAGTCCTGCTGTCGACCTGGCACACTTGTCTCGCTCTTTCTTCCTTAAATAGGGACTGAGAGTCTCGATCTGTTTGGGGACGCAACTGTTTCGCTGACAACATAAGCATGTCCCTCTTTGTGCCTAAAGTTAGTACTGACTAGGAAGAGATGATTAGCTGGACAGAACTGTAGAAGACAATCACCGTTGTCAGTTCGTCAGTAGGGAACTCTATACGTATTGCCTATATACTTCTCAGTCTGGCATAACTTCTCTACTTGGGCATTGAAGTCGCCTGCTAAAACAACTATATCTGAACATTTTGCTTTTCGCAGCAAATTAGACAGTTTCAGGTAAAAATCATCCTTTAGTTCTTCCAAACTGCAGTCTGTTGAGGCGTAAGTGGAGACTACGAAAACGCAACGATGGTTGACGCCGTACTTCCTTCTTCTAATGGACCAGTTTAGACGTACCGCACACATACGACTATCGACCGAGACCAGTCAAAAAGTGGCTTTGCTACTGACGAATCTCCTGACACCCTCTAGGTGAATTTTGCAGCTTCACCTTGTTGGCTGGGTGGGGTTATGTGAACAACCGCAGTTGGGTCTTGTATGCATGTCTCCAAGACACAACATACATTCATGGCTCGAGATTCCAGAGCTCTCGCTAATGATACTTGTCCGATTTGGCAGAGTTTCCTGGCGTTGAATGCTCCAATATGAAGTTGGCGACGTGGCTTTAAGAGGCCGTCGGGAGTTTTTCTATGACTCCTATTGTTGTTTGTGGTCACAGACTGAAATGAAGTTGACTGACCAGCCTTCATAAAAGTATTTAGAGTAGTAGGAAAACAAGACGATGAGGGTGATGTGGGTAAAGGAGAATGAAGCTCAGGAAGGCTTCGTGTGCTTCTGGAGGTGCGTGGACGGTTGTTACATCCTGGCTGCCCCCACCGTGGAAGTTGATTGATTCTTTGAGTGCCTGAAACAGAAAGAGGGTTAGAATTGCACGACCTCAGAGCCCAGGGGACAACTGCTTGAGACCGGTCATACATGGCCTGTTTAATCTGGTTTCTGAGATTGGTGCCGCATTAGTAAACTTACCACCGGCTACGGTCCACCGTAAGGTAAGTTGGGATGTACAATATTTAACCCCGTCTCTCCACAGTGGGGAGACAGCATAGCTGATATGCTAGTCGTCTGAGGGAAACACCTGACTACTGTTAAATCCCTGTTTCCCAGCAGTACGACTTCGCTCACTGACCCTCAGCATAGTGTAAAAAATCCTTACACTGTGCCGGTAACTGCTTTTAGTCAAATCGCTATCCTAACAACCCTCATGGCATGGTGGGACCTGTAGGAACAATAATTTCAGCCAGTGTAGCTTGTTGGGTCATTGTGATGTGCAAGCTCGACCACCACGTCAAGGTAAGGAAATTCTGGTAAACCAAATATTGTTAAACAGAGTGCAGTTTGAGCTCATGGGCTATTAAAGGAAAGTTAAGTATCTAATCCACTACATTACAGTCTGGATTCAACATAGAACTTGAAACCGAAGTGCAGCAGTTCGTTGGTGTGTGCTTTTTCGAGATCATTAAGATGTAACTAATGACTAAAGGTTTTTGGTGATAAGATTGTAAATGGTTAACATTTTATTGACCCTTATTTACTTTATTTTGTCGCATCTATTTTGTTTTATGTAATCTTGTGTCGTGTAGCTGACAGTCAACCTATGCTGCTTCATTATTTGATCTTATCTTTTTTTACTTTCCGCTGACTATTCACCTCCTTGTTAGTGTGAAATGTGATAAGCTGAATCGATAAACTGTTGTATGACGCTTATTCTGGCCTAATTCTTAATTCTGTCACAGTAATCAAGTTCTGTTCTTCATTCCGGTCGATTTGCTTGATACATGAATCGGCAGACTATCAGCATCGTAAGCGGATGCTTTTGAGTACAACTTTGTACAATTGTCAGGTTTTTCAGTATCACAGAAAGAAGAAATGTTTATTAACTAATTATTTATTTCAATCTGTCAACCGAGTTAATCTTTTCAGAGTACTTATCACTAAAATATTATTCTTCTCATTTTAGGGGAATGACAAAATCGAAGAAAAAGTAAGTCTTTCAATTGGTTATTTGCTTATTTGGTTCAAAATGTAAATTTGATTGAAGGAAGGGTATTGTAATCTAGAGGTTTGTGTTATAAACGTAAAGTCAGTTCTCCTATACGGATCAGAAACTTGGCGGGCGGGTCACAAAGAATATTTCCAAAAGGCTGCAGACCTTTATTAACAACTGTCTTCGCTGGCTCAATACTGAAGATCAGATGGCCGGAAAGAATCACCAACAAGGAATTATGGGAACAAACAATGCAAGAACCAATCGCCCAACAAATATGCAGGAGAAAGTGGAGATGGATCAGACACTCGCTGAGGAGACCGCTGGGTGACATCGCGCGCGTCAGGCCATTGCTCGAGTGGAACCCGAAAGGGAAGCGGCGTGTGGGACGTCAGTGCAAGGGTGACATGGAGGAGATCGTGTGAAGAGGAGTTGAAAGAAGATGGATTAACATGGATGCAGGCGAAAAGTATAGCAGAAGACAGAAGAAAATGGAGACGTGCAGTTGAAGCCCTATGTTCCACTAGGAACCCAAGGGAGCAATAATAATAATACCGATCATAGTATTTACATAAATCTAAGGTAATAATAAATTCCTGGTAACTCTCTCATTATCAGGAAGCAACAAACTAACAGCAGTTTGAACTTCACGGCTGGAAATGGTTGACTTCTTGATGCAGTGAGAAAGTCGTCTTGCCTCTGTAGTATTACGTTCTAAGATATCATTTACGAATGAATTCATGACTGACACTGTCTTCGATGAGGTACCAGTGTCAGGGTGAACTTGACGGAGGACTTTGTAGATGTAAATGGCATAGCTCTCCTTCCCCCGCTCTTCGTTTTCTTCTTCTTCTTGTCAACTTCCGGCAACTCGGTCTTTGATGCCTTCTTTACAGCTTTACCAGAAAAGACATTTTTTTTGGGGTGGGGGAGGGCGGGCGGTGGCGTTATCAATTAGACATGTATGGTAGATTTCCAATTGAACACGTCGGTTTCAAATGTGTTCTATGCTAAATGCTTTCGTATAATAGCTTCTTTTTTATATTTCTTGTTAAAATCTTTTAGAGTATTAAATTACAGTGAATTACGAAAACAACAACTGCTTGAAGACAATGAAAAAGAAGAGAAAATTATTAAACAGCTCTCAAAAAAGTTGAAAATGAATCGTAAGAATTTAAGCAAAAAGAAAAAGAAAACAGAAAAATCACCACTTTGGTTAAGACAATGTGGATTTGATTGTAATTATTTATGCTTGTGTATTGTTAATATATATATTATTATAGATATATTGGATTTTGAGAAACAAATGAATGCGGTGACTACTAGTGAGGAGAATGACACTACTCTATGCACTACTGTTGGTGTATTACCTGAAAAGAAAAGTGGGTTCAAAAGACGACTAATGACTGTCGTTTTTTTTTAAATTATTGAATATTAGAAAACAAAAAAACACTTGACTTATACGGACAGAATACATCAGGCGATAATGATGATGCTTCAAGTAGTGATAGTGATGACGACCAGCCGATGGGTTTGTTATGCATTATCTGAGTTGAATTTTATTTAATTGTGAACGCGCTTGCATTCTAGATGATGTATTAAATGAACAAGACAACAGTTCAGAATTATGTGATAGTGTTGTTAATCAAGAAGACAAAGAGGAAGAAGAAGAAGAAGAGGAGGAGGAGGATATTTCAATGGATAGTGACAATGAGAGTTTATGCAAATCTATACGAAATTCTTTAAATCGTTTATCGGAATCACAAATGTCCAAGATTATTACTGAATTGTGCGGATTGTTCACAAAATATCCTCGTGCTACTGTGCGTTCCTGCATTATTGAAGAAGCATGCAATTTAATTGAAGTAGGTTAAAAAGAAAACACACACTTTTTTCCAGTTTCTTCCTTACATTATTAACAATTACTTTTCACTAATTTTTCTTTCACTCCCCTCTTTATTTTATTTTTTGGCCTTGTTTGTAATTTTTTTTAGTGTACACAAGTAAATCGAAACTCCAAAATGGGATGGTTACATCAAGAATTAGCTGTTTGTCTAACTTGTGTTCAGTTGTCATTGTACAGTTTATTTCAATCTGCACCTTTGATCGGTTATTTGATTGAATCAATAATTTTTCGACTTTTCCCCCAAAATCATGGATTACAACAACAGTCACCAGGTGTAATCATATCCTATTCTGTTTTCTTAGCTTATTTATATCGTTTTGGAGTAAGTTTTTTGTTTTTATCATGAATAACAAGATAATTAGATTATTTCAGGCAGTTTAATTTTAGACATTTTAAAAGCATACCTATGCGACTGTGATTCCGGGAAGGTTAAAGCTGGCCACTTCATAACTATCGGTAAGTTGTAGTTAGTTTCTGTGTTAACGCGTATGCTATTATTGCTCTTACTTGTGACTGTGTAACTTGTAAATTCAATTACCAAGCATAACTACTTTTTTGTGTGTTATGCTGTATCACGCTAACTGTATTAGTTTCCCCAAGTTCAAGTAGGTGGTGTCCCATTTATTCAAAAGTGGATTCCCTACTTTCAGTAAGCCTGTAACAACAGAAGACAAGGGCCAGGCAACAGATCGTTTTATTATGAAAATCAACACGTATTTATACATATTTCACATACATTATTATAGCTTATACAAGTAGACAAGCGCAGTCATCTGATTGGTTGTTTATCAGAAGTTAGGCAGATAAACGCAGGCTTCTGATTGGTTGTTTCGGGATTCCTCGACAAATAGAGTTCTCTATCTGCGGATCATATTTTGCCACGTTAACTTTGCTGTGATTGGTTGTTGAATCAGCCTTGCTCATATTTTCTCACGGCCTGCTCTCACCACAAGTCACACATTCATAATGTGGACTATTTGTTGAATCTGACGGGTTAATGTGCGGATATGGTCATCTGAGTCATATTGTTTAGCTTATTTGAAACTGAGTTAATTATTCATATTGTTCAAAATATTTCACTTGTGTTTATGTGGAACAATAAGCCACTTACCTGGAATACCAATTTGATGGGCTCCTTACAACTTTCACCATCCATATCTCCGTGATGAAATAATTAACAAATTTGTCATAAAAACACCAATAATAAAAGACTACCTACAAGATGTTATGGCTAGTAGATAATCTAATGCACAGTACGAATAGTTAAGAGAAATTACATTTCATTTGTAGCTTTTGAAAGCTTTGTTAACGATGTGTAAATTCTTTATTCAATTAACCATACTTCTTGCATATACTAGTTGTTTCTTTACTCAATAGAAAGAATATTATTCAACAACCATTTGCATTTCCTTGCAGTTGGCAATGCTTCACACCTATTGGGTGAAGACTGGTTGTATTGTCCGGTCGTCCAAACCTCGGCACATGTAGTGCGGTTCAAAGCAGTTACCCTGTAACTGTATTTCGATCACGTGAATGTTCGAGTGCTTGACGGGACACCAATTCCTTCAGGGCTGCAAATATGCCTTGCTGACGCGTGCAAAAAGGCATGAAATCTAGGTTCAAAGCTTCCCGGTGATTGCCTCCAATCAACTTTTTTTTACTGGAAGCTATTTTCCTATATTGATCATTTCTACATTCCTAACTTTTCCCATTATTATTATTATTGTTATTACTATTATTATTACTGTAGATAAATTTTTTATCAGTACTTATAAGTGGAATAAAATAAACTCCTTTCAGTCATCTCTGAAAGTTTGTCATTCACCTTGTTTACTCTGGGTCATTGGCTATAACACTTGAGTTACACAGCCAATGGGTCATGGACGCTAGCATGCGTGAAGACATTTCAAATATGTATTGCTTGTCTAGTGTCTGTATTAATAACTAGTGCAAAAATCTGGATGCGACTAGTCTAATTTGCATACACATTCAATCTTAAGACATCTATTATTTATGTATTGTAAGAGGAAAGACGGATGGGGTGGGGAGGGGACGGTAGTGAAAACATGCTGCTCATTGGTTTCAGCAGTGTCAACTGTCAACCAGTGAGACCTAGGCCTAATTCCCATGCCACGTACTTCATTTTGGTGAACTGCACAGCGTCTTCAGTCTTCACACAAATCAGTCTGATAGTCTGGTGCGTGGAAAACCTACTTTGGGTAACGTATATTTGTCTCAGGGCGAACTAGTTGAACCACAAAACTACACTGATGACAACAGAATGCAGTACAATAGTTAGTTGAGCCTAGCTATACACTGACCTTTTATTTATATTTAAAATTGATTATCATTGTTTTCAACAAATAAATGAGGAAAATAAAATTTTATCATTTCGCCATCACTAAAATTTCGAATAACTGGCTTGTTTTTTTTCTTCAGCTGTTGGTGTAAATCTACGAAAATTTAATCTGAATAGATGTCAAGAAATTATTCATCAAGCAAATGATCAACTTATCAAGTGTAAATCTGAAAAATCTGAACTATCGTATGTTAAAAATATTTATTCTTGATTTCTAATGCTAATCTATGTTAATTTTCTATTAAGATATGATTTAGAGGGATTAATTCAACGTCTTTCAGAGAAACGTTCAACAGAAGAGTGTGTTACCCGCTCTATGCATTTGCATAAACTTATGCGAGTATGGACTAAAGGTATGAGATATTATATTAATTACATCTTGAATTTTATTAATACCGTGTAGTTTGTTTTAGTACGATAAACTATCATTTTTTTGTCTGTCTGTCTGTTTTCGACATAGAACTTTGCACAAATGTGTGGCAGTTCAAGTCGCCACACTCCATGTAGCACACATAGCAAGAGAAGAAAGTACAAGGAAAGCATAATAGAGACAGTAAGCAGAGTTGTGAGACAAAGGAATAGTAGTGACGAAGAACAAAACAGTTTCATTGGAAATCATAAGTCATAAGGAGTGGATGCATCTGCGCCACTGAGAACGATTTTGAGCCATGTCACCAATTGTTTCCAACCATTGATTTTTACCGTCCCGAGGACTGAAACCAGTCAGGAAGTCTACACCTTCCTACGTGGCTTAGACCAACTGTTGTAGATTTCATTGACTGGTGAAGCCAAGTTTTTGTTTGACCGCCGCTAGCTTTTTTCCAGCCTGACCCTATATCCGCTAACATTGCTCGTCGAGGAAGACGATGACTAGGCATACGTAACACATGTCCTAACCATCTCAGTCTTTGTAACTTCACGACTTCGTCGATTGATTTCCCCTGTTTACCTAGCACTCGACGCCTAACTTCAATGTTGCTCACCTTATTATGCCACTTCACACGGGAGATAGAACGCAGGCACCTATGATCAAAGACAGCTAGTCTTTTCATATCTTCCACTCTGAGTGGCCAGGTCTCACAACCATAAAGGAGGACGGAGCGGACTGATGAGCAGTACACCCGCCCTTTGGTCGATAGTCGGATATCTCGTCTACGCCAGAGTCGGCGTAAACTGGCAAATGCGAAACGAGCCCCCTGTATTCGTGCTGAGATTTCGTCAGAGATCAACCCGTTGGCGTTGGCTGATGGTACTTCCCAAATAAATGAAGCGGTCAATGTGCTCTACCACTTCACTCCCTATTTCTAATCTAGGCGTCGATGTAGTCCAGTCAGTCCTGTAACATCATCTTGGATTTGGCGGGAGCGAATCGCATGCCAAACATTCGCAGATTGCAGCTCAAGGTGTTTAGAAAACTCTGCATTTTGTCAGAGTCTTCACCTAGAAGGACTATATCGTCTGCATATTCCAAGTCAACGAGATTATTCCTTGATGGTAGCAAGTCAATCCCTGAATCGCAGAAGTCACTTAGGGTTAAGTCCATTAAGAACATCTATGATGAAGTTGAATAGAAAAGGAGATATTGGGTATCCCTGACGGACGCCACCAGTTGTCACCACTTCAGATGACAACTCGCCGTAAGCTCTCAACCTGGCTGCTTGAGTTCGAGCAGAGTGTTTTGATCAGTGCAGTGTATTTTCTCGACATTCCGTTTACAGCCAAGCATAGCCAGAGAACTTCTCGGTCGACAGAATCGAACGCCTCCTTTAGGTCAAGAAATATAACGATTATTGGACGCCGGTAAGTATTCCTACGTTCCATAATCTGTCGAATGTTAAAGATATGATCAATACACTCTCTTCCTGGTATACAGCCTGCCTGGTTATCTCGTATTTGTTCCTCCCGAGCACCACTTAATCTACGCATTATTATTGAGCCTAGGACTTTAGATACTATATTAGTCAAGCTAATCCCTCTGTGATTATCACAGGAAGACTTGTCTCCCTTCTTGTATATGGGGATAATCAATGACTTACACCAACCCGACGGGACTTCCTCTGATTCCCAAACGCTGCCTAGTAGTACCCTAGTTAATGCAGACAGTAAACTGTCTCCACCGTACCTCAATAACTCTGGAGTCATTGCATCAGGTCCCGCTGCCTTGCCTCGTTTCAGAATAGTGACAGCCTTAGTAACCTCAGTTAGGGACGGAGGACCTGTGTCTACATCCCATTCAGGGAAGTGTGGGATGTTCGGAAGGTTGAGTGTGGCTGTGGGCCAATTAAACTGCTCCTCATAGTGCTCTTTCCAGCGTTCAAGTCGTCCATCCTAGGAGCTAATTATAGTGCCATTTTTCTCAGAGATTGTTTCACTTATGATTTGCCTTCTCCTACCCGTTTCCCTGATGAGTCTAAATAGTTGCCTGGTGTTGCCTATCGTCGAAGCTTCCTCCATCTCTTTCGCCTTTGTCACCCACCACTGTTCACGGCCCTTGCGGAGACTTTTCGTAAGTTTCCTTTTGTGCAGCTTTCGCTCCTCATTGAATTCGGAGCTCGCTGGAATAAGTTTTCTAGCATTTATCAGTTCTTATGAGGCAGTCGAAATCCAGTGGTTTTTACTCACCTTTGGGTTTACCTTATTCACAACTTTTACAGCTGTATCTATGGCTGACTGAATATTCTTCCAAGCTTCTTCAGGGTGAGAATAGCTGTCGAACACAGATATGTGTTTAGCTAGTTCTTCCTCAAATAGGGGTTTAGTTTCATGATCGAGCAGGAGACGTGATGGGTTTACCGCCAGCTGTTTCCTACATCCATTCAGTCGTAAGTGCACTCGAGCCCGGACCAGTGCGTGATCGGTATCTACACACGTGTTCCAGAAGGAGTGACAATCTCCTACCGACCTACGCCATCTTTGAGTTTGTATACGTTGCCGCCAATCACTAGTCGATTGAAGGCGCAGAAGTCGGCGAAGAGTTCTCCATTTTCATTCATTTCTCCGAGAGCTTCTCTACCCATGATGAGTTCCCTTCGTGTTTTGTCTGGTTCCAGTTTGGCGTTCATGTCTCCCATTAGTATTATAATGTCACCAACTGGAGTATCGTCCATTGCTGCCTGTAGTTGTCTGTAGAATTCTGTTATGTACTGGTCGAGAATTTAATAGTTCTGACGCAAAAAAGACGGAAATCAGAAGACCACTAGGTTTGCGATGATACTTCTATTTTCCAAAACACAAGGAGAATCAATGTCACACAAGTGTGTGAGAGCAAAATATAAGAGTGTCCGAACAAGTGTGTGAGCGAATATTCAAAATGAACAAATCAATAGACAGTCTTAACATGATTGGCTAATTATAATTGAATATCGATCCATATATACATAGCAAATATACAGACTGTCAAACAAACACACATTTATATGGATATATATATCACCAAGGATAGACTGTCAAACAAAACACATATTATATGGATATATATCAAATTCTTTCTTTTCGAGGTCTGCGTTGTTTGTGGGTGCATAACATTGTATAATTGACACTTTCCTTCCTTTGGAGTTGAATCTGGCGGTCATTATCCTGGACGAGATCGCCTCCGGTTGCATTAGGGCCTTTATTGCCGTTGGTGACATCATGATAGCCGCGCCCTGGGTGTGCGTGTGGTTATCTTCTGGGTGACCGGAGTAGATCACTGACTCACCCGTTGACAATTTGGTGAGTTCATTCCCGTTCCGTCTGCTTCCACATATTCGCAGTAGTTGAATTCCATATCGTTTCATTTCGTTTGCGATCTAGGCAGCTTTGCCAATCTCGTACATAGTGCGGACGTTCCATGTCCCCACACAGACTTTTTCTTTTGGCGCAAGGAGATTAATCGGACTGAAGTTTCTGTAGCAGCTTTGTTTACAGGATGGCTCGCTAGCCTCATACCCAACCTTTCCTCTTTACCAGTATTATTTCTGACTTAGCGAGGTAAAGGAGTGCGTCGGTCGGGGATCGAACCCCGGACCTTGTGCATGGTCGGCGAGCGTCCTAACCGCTGTGCCACCGATGCACTATCGGTGTCTTACATATGTTCAATACTTTGTTCCTCGTCAGATACTATTACCAGGACCTATGGATTGACTAGGTGAAATTCCATTTCCAGGATAACTAATACGTCAGGTGTTGATTGTTGCTACTCTTTTATATTACTTGTGTCCTGCCTTGGGTGCTAGCTCTGGTGGTTCACTGGTGGAACACTCGCCACCCAGGTACTTGGTCTGGGTTCGATTCCCAGCTGATATACTCCTAAACATCGCTTAGCCATTAATAACCCCTATAAAAAGATAAGGTTTGTCCTGAGTTTGAGCAACCCCACTCCGTGAAAAAATAGAAACACCACTGCTATTGAAACCTAAAAACCTCAAGCTTGAATTCCTATGTTCCACTAGGAAGCAAAAGGAGTAAAATTAAGAAAAGACTCTGAATCTGATTATGAGTTAGAATTTTGTCCATTTACTCCTGGGAGGTCGTATTACCTGGTTGACTTTCTTTGTGCTTGCTTGACATCCAGTTCTCCTTTAGTGTTAGTTATGAGCAGTGAAATTATTGGATTCTCGATCACTTATCTAATTGCGGCCCACGTATTTAGAGAACACAAAATTCTTAAAGTTGAGGAATATTCCTTGTCGGTTAGTGACATTGAGGAAACAAAAACACAGTAACCTTTAGCTTTCTGTCAGCTGTTTTAATTTTTTCTTGTTGCTAATTTGATGAAACAGCTTTGAGAATCGTTCAAATTTCTTACCCCCTAATAAACATGTTTCTTAATTTCTTTAAACTTTTCTGAAGTGTAGCAACTTGAAGTAATACACTTCTGTGCGAAGTTTCTTATCTTGATGCGCATGTCTGTCCTGTTGACTTCAGTTGTTCAACTCTATTCAATTTGCATGAGCGTTTACCGAGTTTACTGCAGCAGTTAAATCGATTGGCTCATTTTTTGTTTTATATTGTCAGCATTAGATAGTCGTTTCCCAGACATCTGTGGTAATCTTTTAATGGCTAGCATAGATAGAAGATTAGTGTCTTTCGCGATGGTTTACGTTTACCAATTGTGTTTTTTTTTAAACATAACTGATAATGGAGTGGGGCTTGGTAATTAATGATAATACGATAGTATTATCTAAGCTTTAGTAGGTGGAATATCAGGTAGTTTGAATCTGTGATCTTGCATTTGAAAATCAAGTGTCTAATTATAATAGTATCATTGGGGAGTATCAATAACTGTAATACAATTTATTTTGGCGTATTGTCAAGTTCTATCCTCTGGCTTTTCTTGATCATCTCATGTCTTGTCAATATCTAAGGAAATGTTCCATCTAAACACCTACATTAAGAAGTTAAGTCAATCAGGTATCACTCAACCTCTACTTTTACAGTTTTTTCTTTACTCTTGCATCTTACCTTTTATTCTTCATTGCTCCCCGGCCCCCTCCCCCTTAGTCTTTCATGGGCTATTCAAAAAAGACTATGTAATATTATATTACGAAGGGTATTAAAGTTTGTCAGTTAAGTAATGGCCACTAAGTAAGTTCGTTATTATTTTAGTCAGCTGGCATCTGAACTCATGCGGTTAATGGGCTAAATCCATATTTTCTGACTCAGCACCCTCTCTATTCACAGCTCTTCCTTGCATGTTATCAGGTTGGACTCTAAGTGGTTATAGAAGATTATATGCTCTTCCAACCCACGTGATATTCTTAATTGTGAAACCTACAATTTACCATGTAAATAGTAAAATAAATGGCTCTTGTATCTTCTCCTGTTTGTAATTTATGGTGACACACTACTTCAATTACTTTATCATTTTAGTTACTAATATTGTTATCACTTTACTTTACTTTATTGTTATTGCTAATTCCCAAAACTTGGTGTTATTAATTTTGGTTACCTATAACATGTAATCGTGCCTCGGTGGAGCAGCGGTACAATACTCACCAGCCATGTAGGTGGTCTGGGGTTTGATCGCTGGCCGGTACACTCCTTTACCTTGCTTGGCCAGTAAGAGGACTGGCTAAAAGAGGAGGTTAAGCATGAGGCTAGCAACTCCATCCCCTAAGAATAAACACCACTACTACTGGAACTTCAAGCCTGTATCTTGAAGCCCTATGTTCCACTAAGAACATAAAGGAATTAAAAAAGCAAACAAACATGTAATTGCTCTTTCTGTTGTTGTTGCTGCTGTTGTCGAGTAAATTAGATGCTATATTGTACAAAATGCTGAGAATTCCACACTGTGTTGTAAGTACTGTTTTGTAATAAAACGCATCATTACTATTGTCCATAAACAAATGTTGAGTTGTTGGGATTTTGTCGGCAGATTTATTCACCAACCAACATCACTTAAAGAGAAACTTAGGAAATATTGAAGCCTACGGAGGTAAAAAACAATGTTGTTATGTCTTCTGATAGGATCACTGGATAATGTGAATACCGTTTTGTTAAATTTTCAGAAATATGAATGTATATTGCATATATATATATATATATGTTTATATAGTTAGTGTGCTTCGGTAATCAAGACAAAAGTACTTAACCTTTATTTGAAAGTAATAAATTATATATTTATATTTTATTTAAAATACATTGTGATAGGATTGTCTATCACCGATGATATGTGTTTGTCTGTTGAATTGGACGATCTTTTGAATTCTGCATCAACTGGCCGCTGGTGGTTGATCGGTTCAGCAGTTAATCGACCAGCGGATATTCCTATGGTTAAGTCACAGGAAGAGGAGAAATCTAAGACTTCCACCAATCCTGAAGTAATTATTTATTCCAGTATTTTCTTTGTTAATATTTACAATGCATTATTAATCACTCTAACCGGAATCTGTTGTCAGTTTGTGAAAAAGTTAGGTTCTCTAGTCTTGCCACCTTTATTATATATGCATCAGTAAACCTGGTCGTGTGAAGCAACAAGGCATATCGGCTGTAGCTATAGTATGCTTTTCACATGAATACAACAGTACATTTTAGTATTCTTTTACAAAGGAGAAACGAAGGAATTTAGCAGTCCTATTCTAGAACACTTGATCGACTTCGGTCACATCGCGGGAAACATCCAACTGCATATTAAAAACTTCTGTCATTCAACTAACCCTGACATTGACTTTATCAAACTCATTCACACCTGCTGTGCTTTCTTCGTTTTATACTTCTTAAAACGTAGATGATTATTCACGAATTTTAAGTCAGATATTTGTGTATAAAAGAAGTATGTAAAGTGTCTGTTTCTACCGTGGGCTTGGAATTAATCCGGAATCTATACATTTATCCTTTAATGATGCAGTTTTTGTCTTAGTAGCTACCATAATGTATGTAACGTCATCAGGAGGCTGATGATAATTGCCTCTGGTTGCCCAACATGAATTCAAAATTACATCAGTTTAATTTTTTAAAGTAATTGGGATAAGTTGAATGCAAATACAAAATAGTGTGAAATGGACAATGGTCATAATAATAATTATTATTATTACTCTTATTGTTCTTCTGGGTTCCGAGTGGAACATAGAGCTTCAGCGCCGCATCTCCACTTTGTCTTATTGTCTCTAGGATTGCCCACAAACTTTTATCTCCACCATGTCACCCAGATAGCTGTTTCTCATTTTCGGGAAAATCTCATCTTGTGTCACATTCATCTCCATTTTCTATTGGACGCTTCTTGAACTATACATTCTTGCTTGTTGGTTCATTCCCAGAGTTTCCTGTGGCTAATTCTTTCTGGTCATTTCATCTTCAACATGCAGCCAGACTCACACAAAAAACTTGGAGGATCTGGACTTCGTCGATGATATATGTCTGATTTTCCACAAACTGAAAGATATGCAAGTGAAAAGCAACAAGCTGGCAGAAGAAGCATCCAGGGAAGATAGGAAGGACTTCAGGTGAACATAGATAAGACGGAGGTGATGAAGATTCCTGGCCAATACCACCACCAACAACAACAGCTGACAACAATCAGCCAGCATAAATGGGAGGAACCTGAAAGAAACAACCTCCTTTACCTTCCCACCTACCTACTTGGGAAGCATCGTTTCAACTACAGGCGAAACTGACGAGGATATCAAAGCGAGAATCATCGGAAAAGCAAGACAAGCTTTCATTACTCTTAAGTCTGTGTGTGGATCAGCAACACTACTCAGCATGAAAAATGAGATCCGGATTTTCAACTCCATGTGAACTCAGTGCTACCTACTATACGGATCAGAGACTTGGCGCGTCATAAAAACCACCTCAAACAAACTACTACAGACTTTCATTAACAGTTGTCTTCGCTCAATACTAGTCAAGATCTGATGGCCAGAGAAGATCAGCGACAGGGAGGGATCTCTGGGAGTGAACCAACAGGAACCGATTGTGAAACAAATAGGCAGGAAGAAATGGAGATGGATTGGCTGGCCATACTCTGAGGAAACCATCAAGTGACATCACTAGACAAGCCATTGCTCGAGTGGAACCCGAAAGGGAAGCGGTGAGTTGGTCGTCAGTGCAAGAGTGACTTGGAGGAGGTCATGTGAAGAGGAGATGAAAGCATGTGAGCAGATTTGAAACCAGCAGAGGACCGAAGGCAATGGAGACGCTGGACTGAAGCCTTTTGTTCCTCTAGGAATTAAAGGAAATAATAGTAATAATAATGCAGCCAGCTAAGGTCACTGTGAGGAAAAGTATGTAGTAGCCTAATTCCATTATGGATAAAATTGTACTCTGATAAAGTCACACAACGTTATATAGGAATATTTCGTGACGCGCATATATATTTAAAAGAACTGACGTAATATCGCTGTTGAAAACCCGAATTTTTTGTAGTTTATGCCGAGACGGAGTGGAGATTTTCAAACTGATTTTAGAGTGATGAAGGTGTATCTTGCCTTCCTAATTCCCGCTTTGACCTTCTTATTTGTTTTGCTGCCTCAAGTTAAAATGGTGTTGCCTAGATATGTGAAAGAAGTAACCTCTTTTAAACTTATTCCTTTAATGTTGATTAGTGCTTGTTGGTTGGTTATCTTCACCACTTCCGTCTTCTCCATATTCACTTGGAGTCCTGTCTTCACTGCATGCTTTTTCTGCCTGTAAGTCTTCTAGTTTGTGTGACACTAAACATAAGTCATCCGCGATATCTAAATCTTCTAGAGTCTTCTTATCGTTATAATTAGTCATATTAAATTCGTTTACAACAATTGTTGAACCCATTAATCGTTGTTAATAGAACATAGGTCGAACAATAAAAGTCTTATCGGCATTAAGACGGACTACGAGATATATCATACATTATGTGTGGGTAGAGTATTGAGTCATTTCTTCAGGTTATAAACTCATTGACTGGTGTATTTGGTAGAGATATTGTGTTCCATGTTAGATTAGAATTATGTACGTCCCGTACTCGAGTAACTGTTAAATAGATGAATTTTATGTCTCATTTAGACGGATTGTTTTCTTTCCAGACACAATTACTTTATCACAGTAATGAACATCTTATTTCAACGCTTTTTTTCCCTTAGATTGCAGCTGTTGCAGAAAAGTTGGGTCTACGTACTGCTTCACGTCAATTGACGTTTAACATTTTGGTCTCTACTCCTGGTGGTCCAGATGCCACAGCTTCCGCACTACTAAAAGCATGTCATACTTCTGCAAATTCTCCTGGTGTACGTCTTGGAGCAGGTGCTGTAACCGGTCGAGAAAGAGAAATGATTCACGTTGTGCTGCATTGTGTTATGTCTGAAATGCCTTTCAATCGCTTTTATCCACGAGTCTTAGGTGGCGTTCTTAACTGTCATCGACGGTTTTTGGTAAGGAGACTGGAAACAATTTTATTATTATTATTATTTTTAACTTAGGTTCTGAGGGTTTTAGCAACACATTCCCATATCAACATGTTCCCTGAAATCCTGGCGTCATGACTGACCATAACCTTTCATTTCCTCACACGATCTCCTCCATATCACCCTGGGATACCTAACTCGCTTTTTTCACTCGGGTTTCAACTCTAGGGTTTGGTGTGTGGTGTCACTCAACAGTGTGATGAATCCATCCTCACTTCCTTTTAGATATAGATGCTGGGGAATCGGTTCTTGGTTGATTTGTTGCCAGATTTCCTAGTTGCTTTTCCTTTCTAGCTGTCTGATCTTCAGTATCGAGAAAGAGGGTGCAGCTGTCGACAGAATTCCGCAGTAGACTATTGGGAGTGTTTTCGGTATTGTGGCAAGTCTCTGAACTAAACAGAAGCACTGACTTGACATTATTAGCTTTGAAAATTCGTATGTTGTTCTGTTTATATAGAGAGAGTGGAGCAGATTTTCGCACTTGTCACAAATTAAGGAGACTCAAAATAACTGGACAAATGTATTTCTTTAAGATGCTATGTAACTGAGTTATTATTTTTTCTAAGGGTGTAAAACAGTCTTGCTGGCCATACCTTAGGCGAGTGAAAACTGTTTCTATTTTTAGTATCGTGTCACATGACACTAGTTAGTGTCCAAACAAAAAAGTATCTAATACAGTCCTACAGGAGGTCAATGGTGCGCCCGGATAGCTCAGCTGTAACGTCTCTGACTTCAGTACTGGGTGACAAGAGTGAGAATCCGAAAGGGGACATGATTTCCTTCAAGATTGCCTATACGCCTTTCTGACGAGTACCAACTAGCAGGAAACCCAGGTCAACCTGTGCTTTCTTCCGATTGCCTCCAACTATCTAATAACAACAATCTTGAGTGTACCGTGATGGCGAGCCACCTAACGTAGTGGCCACATCGCAAACTTGACTGATAGAATTGAGTCTGCAGCAAACAAAAGGACTAGGCAAATGACACTAATTAGTATCCAGTCGAGAAAGTATCGTGTCATTTAATGAACGAATAAGTACTGTTATGTGAGTGTAGCGATTTCTTTAAGCCAATTGACTTCTTAGTTTAGGGTCGTATTCTTCAACCTCTCTTCCACTTGGTGTTATATCAGCTCGCAGCTCAGAGTGAATGCACCTTATAGCCTTAGCACAAATGTGAGCTGGTTGACTGGAACCCAGTTACCCGGAGTGGATCTTTCATGAAGCAGACTATGAACCCCACTTATAGTGTGAAGGCTGATAATACCCAATTTCTCGGTCGGAAGTAAGTGGAGTGGACCTTGAACTCGAACTTATTGGTTGAAAGAAAAGTGAAACACACTTTGACGTACGAACAGAAACTACTTAAATGTAGAACATAGTAACGTTAAATATCGTTACTATTCGATCCTACAATGTTTTTAGTAATTCCGTCGTATCAAGCTGTAATCAAAAAATATAAAAATGGTATTACACCTCATTATTGACATCCGTAGTTATAGAAAATCGCATACATAGTTTTAGTTAATAATCCCTGTCAGCATGGGATAGGTGAATGCATTGATACATAGGGGAACTTAGTCGTGCTTTAGCTTATTTTGAAAGCTAACTTATGTATACGAGTTGGTTTCTTTTATACTACTCAGCGATAAATCATAATTGTTCCACTACAGTTTCTAATAATGATGATTAGGCTAAGAACTAAAAGTGGGACTCATTGGCTGAAGTTTCTTTATCTGCGCAAGTAGAGCACAACTGCAGTTTCTTCGCTGACTTGAAAATGATTAGAAAGGGATATAAAAGAAAATGGAATGATAACGTGATTGATTTTTAGCGAAAATGCTTCAAAGATTATAGAGATCCAGTATATTTGTACCCCCTTCTCGTCTGTAGCTATAGAATTTACAGATGGATTAGGTATCTTTGCACTTACAGTCATGAATTTACGTACTACTTCTATGTTATACCAAGGATAATTAGCGAATTATCTGCAGCATTTGTTACTTATGGTAGCAGTCAATAAAGCTTCTTTCATTGTTTATTGTTCGAATGCCTATCGCCTCAGCTGTGTGCAGTAGACGAATGCGAAGTCTATTGGAAAGATTCGGTGGGATACGATGAATTACTTTAAAAGCTCTTGTTTCCTCCACTACATGACCACTATCAACTAAATGTGACAAAATTGAGCTACGGATTGTTTTTGTCTGTCCTTTGCCAAGCCACCTCGATGGGAGATGTTCACTAACACATTGGCTAAGCTGTCTAATAGTACATTCAACATAACTGTCATCGCAGGTGCAGTTGAATTGATAAATGCACAAAGATGTGGCAAAACTCTCTATCTTATCTTTCGTTTGCGTCCCAATTACTCGTCGACTAGAGAATCCTTTTTTTTCTTAACTATGGTGGAGTGAAAATCCTAGTTAGAGAAGGTACGGTTTATTAAGCTTTCGGATGGTGACCACCAGGGGGATCCGAAATGCGCCTTTTGTCCAAATCGAAGCCCGTCACCTGGATGTACCTGCATTTCCTAGTGAGTGGTGGTTCCCACTGGGGCTCGAGGCCAGTGTCCGTCGTTTCAAATGCCAAGGCGTTATCCACTAGACCACTTGGGCCACAAGAAACACCTCTTCTGCAACGGGTGTTACTTATTATTTACTTTTAATTCAATTTTGATTTTCCCGTCGATTGATTGAACCGAAATGTTCCGCTTCTGTTGACTCACTGAGGCGTGTAACTACATCCGGATGACGAGTCCTAAGTAGGTCGAAGTGCGCATACTGGATTCTACTGCTAGTCAGTATCCACCAAATTACTTCTGTAGACGTCGAACCATCCGCGCAAGGAGCCGACATGTCAACAGAGGTCGAACTTATCCGTGTAGCCAATCAACGGGAAGATCAAAATTGAATCAAAAATGAGTAAGTTACATTTCATTTCAAATGTGGCACACTCTAACTGTGTTCAAATAACGACTGTTTATTTTCTGTTAACAGGATTTCATTTCTATTTTCTCTTACAGATGATGATAAAATGTGGATTTTGGGATTTATTAAACAATACCAATCTAACTGTAGAGGCTAAATCTAATGCTGGTCGCGCTTTAGGCTTAATATGTCTTGTTTATAACTTTCCGCTTACTGTATTAAAGGTAAGCTTTACTCCGTTTTGATTTTGTGTACACCAAAACACCTAGCCTAAATCAAAGTGTATATTCTAAATTTTTCTTAATATTTTTTATTTCTTACATTATTGTCGATTGAAACAACGCAAAACCTCTTAGTAACAATTGGTGTGTGTTCCACTTGTCACTTTTTTTAAACAGTAACATTCATCTATCCACGTGAATGTCTTGGAGTCGGTCACCGGTAAAGTCATGAGTGTACGATTTTTTGGTATTCTATGATGGAGCGTCAGTGGTTCCGAGGTAGAATGCTAGGCAACTACACACCTGGTCGGGGGTTCGACCCCCGGTCGACACACTCCTAAACCTAGCTTAACCAGTAGTAAGTTCGGTAGAGAGGGAACGTTGAGTGTGCGGCTAGCGAACCCATCCCGTTGAAAAGAATAACACCACCGTTACTGGAACTTCAAACTCCAAAGCTTGAAGCTCTATTTTCCTCTAGAAATGCAAAAGAATAAAATAAATAAAATAGTGACGGAACAGTGCTATCCAGTGCTCCTTCAATTTCATTAGTGTTCCCCAGTTTGTTTCAGATAATGACATAAATTATCTTTGGGTCTGTATTGTAAAATGACAAACGACTATATACTAAGGAATGTGTTTTTAATATGTTGTCTGCGTTTGTTGAAGTTTCTCTAGCGATTTGAAATATTTGGTGGTGTGAGGTTACTAGCCCCACACTCAGTCCTCCCTCTTTACCCGGGCTTGGAACCGGCTAGAAAACTAGCGAGCTGGTAAACTAGGCGAGGTTATGGAAGAGATCGTGTGAGAAAGAGATGAGAGAGTTTTGTCAGTCGTGGACCCAGCTGAAGAGGACGGCGGAGAACAGAACAAAGTGGAGATGTGTTGTTGAAGCCTTATGTTCCACTTGAAACTCAAGGGAATAATATATAATATAATATATACTAAAGAATGCTTATCTAACCTTTATATCGCTATCTTAGTAAAGGGGTTAGATCCTCATTATTTTCTCCCATTAGCCTTCATCTGTCACAGTTGTTTGTAAGAATCCTAAATCTGTTAAACCTTGTAAGCAAAGCCTAATAACTTTTATGTATTCTTTGTACTGCAGAAAAAATGAAGCGTTCTTCAATAGCATACTATTAAAATTACAATCAAGAACGTGGAGTACATTTACAGCTCTATGCTTACTACTAAATTAGGAAGTTGATTTTGCAACTGAATAGTGTTATTTGAGAGGAAATTGTTTATCAATTTTGAATCCCAGGAGTCTGTCCCGTGAATTAATCATTCTTTCGGTTTCACTTTTCAGAGGCTAAAACAATTTCTAGTGGTAAAATCCCCTTTCTAGACTCAAAGAAAAATCCCAAATGTCCTATTTTTTTCTTCAATTCAACTTCGTTCTCATCTTTTGATTTATTTTTACCTTAGATCCATTTTTAATATGTTTGTCAATAATTAAGTCGAGTTCTAGTGTTTCAATTTTCTCCTGACTTTTTAGTCCTAAATTCATTGAATGCACTTGAGTGTAGGTTATATATTCGTGACAATCATAAGGGGATTAACTTAACTAATATGATATCTAAAGTTCTAGGCCCGATAATCATATGTAGATTAAGTGGTGCTTGGAAGAAACAAACACAAAAAAAAACAGGCAAGCTTTAGACCAGGAAGAGGTCATATCTTCACCTTTCGACAGATTCTGAAACATTGGCATACTTATCGACGTTCGACAATTGATGTCCGTCTCTCTGTTTGTTTTTGACATAGAACTTTGCATCGATGTGCGGCAGTTCAAGTCGCCACACTCAATGTAGCTCACAAAGCAAGAGAAGAACGTAGAAGAAATGCATAATAGAGACAGTAAGCAGAGGTGTAAGACAAAGGAAGAACAATTATAGTTTCATTGGAAATCATAAGTCACAGGGAGTGGACGCATCTGCACCATCATTAAGAACGATTTTAAGCCATGTCACCAATTGTCTCCAGCCATTGGTTTTTACCGTCCCGAGAACCCCAACCCGCCAACCAGTCAGGAAGTTTACACCTTCCTACGTGACTGGCTGGCTTAAACTAACTGTTGTGGATTTCATTGACTGATGAATTGATGTTTTAGTTTGACAACCACCATTAGCTCTTTTCCAACCTGACCCTATGATAGCTGACTAACATTGGCCATTGTCGAGGAAGACGATGGATGGCTGGGTATGCATGCGTAGTCCATGTCCTAACTATCTCAACCGATGCAGATGCTTCACAGCCTCGTCGATTGATTTCCCCTCCATCCTTAGTTAGCACTCGACCGATTCTTAACCTCAATATTGCTCACCTTGTTATACCACTTCCCACGGGAGATAGTTTCCCACGCAGGCACCTATGATCAAAGACAGCTAGGCGGGCTCTTCATGTCTTCTACTTTCAGTGGCCAGGTCTCACTCACAGCCAGCCATAAAGGAGGACGGTTCGGACTGATGAGCAGTACAGACTCCGTTTGGTCGATAGCCCTCCGGGTATCACATCTACGCCAGAGACGGTATAAACTGGCATATGCGAGACGAGTCTTCTGTATCCATGCTGAGGTCCGATTGGGGATCGTTGCAATGTTGAGGACCCAATGGCTGGAGATATGATGGCTGAAAACCCATCTAAATTTTATAGATACATTCACTCTTTGTAGTCCCCCAGATCCATTGGATTTTCTGTTTCTGTCATCTTTTTCCTCTTTCTCCTGTACATTTATGCGCATTATAGTTTTTTGAATTTCTTTTTTCTCTCTTTATACTAATTTTGATTGCGTCGGTGGCACAGTGGTTAAAACGCTCGCCGACCATGCACATGGTCCGGGTTTTAATCCCCGACCGACTCACACCTGATATCAATGGTCGACCTGCTAAATTTGGACTACCGATATCTCATCCTGAAAATTCCATTATGGGTAAATTTTTGTTTGTTTGTTTTGAGTCATCACTCCTACCTGAAATATGGAAAATACTACTGCCAATCAAATCAAGTGAAAAATAATGGAACTATATAAATGAAGTTAGGAAGTCGTGTGATTACCTTGATATGATTATGAGCAATAAATTGTGCTCGAAACGTCATCAGTAAACATTACTGTATAACACTGTGAGACTTTATCAAAACAAACATTTACGCGTAATGGAATTATACTCTACCACAGTGCATAAGTTTTATTCTTATATCAATGAAAATTCCTTAGTTGTATCAAAAATACGGCGTGGAATCAAGCTATAATCAAAATTAAAATAGATAAATATATGAGATCTGGCAACACGCGTCTGGCCTGTACTTCTGTGTTAAAGCTCAGTCAGTCACTTAACTGTAATCAATAGACTTCAACATTTGCGTGTTGACAACTGTGGTCTGTGTATTAAGTAATACATCGAATTTGTTTTATACACATTATCGATGTTGACTCTTGATCTGGAAACCACGGACTAAAACTTTTTTGTTGGTGATTTATAACATCAAATACAATATGTATAGAGATATGGGAGTGTCGTATGCATTTTGATTGGACAATAGTATCTAGTGTGATGTGTCTAGTCCTTTCTTTTGGTGCAGATTGAATTCTATCAGTCAGCTCTGCAATGTGGCCAACATTCTGGGTAGTTCGCCGTCATGGTGCACATTGATTTGATGATAATTAGATGGTTGGAGGCAATCGGCTACTGTCTGTCTGTCTGTTTTCGACATAGAACTTTGCACAAATGTGCGGAAGTTCAAGTCGCCACATTCCGTGTAGCACGCGAAGCAAGAGAAGAAAGTACAAGAAAAGCATAATAGAAACAGTGAGCAGAGGTGTGAGACAAAGGAGTAATAAAGAAATACAAAACAGTTTCATTGAAGATCATAAGTCACAGGGAGTGGATGCATCTGCGCCACTGAGAACGATTTTGAGCCATGTCACCAATTGTTTCCAACCATAGATTTTTACCGTCCCGAGGACCCCAGCCTGGAAGTCTACACCTTTCTACGTGGCTTAGACCAACTGTTGTGGATTTCATTGACTGATGCCAAGTTTTTGTTTGACCGCCGCTAGCTTTTTTCCAGCCTGACCCTATATCCGCTAACATTGCTCGTCGAGGGAGGCGATGGCTTGGCATACGTAACACATGTCCTAACCATCTCAGTCTTTGTAGCTTCACGACTTCGTCGATTGATTTCCCCTGTTTACCTAGAACTCTACGCCTAACCTCCATGTTGCTCACCTTATTATGCCACTTTACACGGGAAATAGAACGCAGGCACCTATGATCAAAGACAGCTAGTCTTTTCATGTCTTCCACTCTCAGTGGCCAGGTCTCACAACCATAAAGGAGGACGGAGCGGACTGATGAGCAGTACACCCGCCCTTTGGTCGATAGTCGAACATCTCGTCTACGCCAGAGTCGGCGTAAACTAACAAATGCGAAACGAGCCCCTTGTATTCGTGCTGAGATTTCGTCAGAGATCAACCCGTTGGGGCTGATGGTACTTCCCAAATAAGTGAAGCGGTCAACGTGCTCTACCACTTCACTTCCTATTTTTAAACTAGGCGTCGATGTAGTCCAGTCCTGTAACATCATCTTGCATTTGGCGGGAGCGAATCGCATGCCAAACATTCGTAGATTGCGGCTCAAGGTGTTTAGAAGACTCTGCATTTCGTCAGCGTCTTCGCCTAGAAGGACTATATCGTCTGCATATTCCAAGTCAACGAGATTATTCCCCGGTAGCAAGTCAATCCCTGAGTCGCTGAAGTCACCTAGGGTTAAGTCCATTAACACATCTATGATGAAGTTGAATAGAAAAGGAGATAATGGGCATCCTTGACGGACACCACTGGTCGTCATCAGTTCAGATGACAGCTCGCCGTAAGCCCTCACCTGGCTGTATGAGTACGAGTAGAGTGCCTTAATCAGTGCAATATATTTTCTCGGAATTCCCTTTACAGCCAAGCATCTCCAGAGAACTTCCCGATCGACAGAGTCGAATGCTGCCTTTAGGTCAAGAAATATAATGACTGTTGGACGCCGGTAGGAATGCCTATGTTCTAGAATCTGTCGGAGGGTGAAGATATGATCAATACACCCTCTTCCTGGTCTAAAGCCTGCCTGGCTCTCTCGTGTTTGTGCTTCCCGAGCACCACTCAGTCTACGCATGATTATTGAGCCTAAGACTTTAGATACTATATTAGTCAAGCTAATCCCTCTGTGATTATCACAGGAAGACTTGTCTCCCTTCTTGTATATGGGGATAATCAGTGACTTACACCAACCCGATGGGACTTCTTCTGATTCCCAGACGCTGCCTAGTACCTCAGTTAATCCGGACAGTAAGCTGTCTCCACCGTACTTAAATACCTCTGGAGTCATTCCATCAGGTCCCGCTGCTTTGCCTAGTTTCAGATTGGTGACAGCTTTAGTAACCTCAGTTAGTGACGGAGGACCTGTGTTTATATCCCATTCAGGGAGGTGTTGGATGCTCGGAAGGTTGAGCGTGGCTGTGGGCAAATTAAACTGCTCCTCATAATGCTCTTTCCAACGATCCAGTCGTCTATCCTGGGAGCTAATTATAGTGCCATTTTTTTCCGAGATTGTCTCACTTATGATTTGTCTTCTCCCACCCGTTTCCCTGATGAGTCCAAAGAGTTGCCTGGTGTTGCCTATCCTCGAAGCTTTCTCCATCTCTTTGGCTTTTGTCGCCCACCACTGTTCACGGTCCTTGCGGAGACTTTTCGTAAGTTTCCTCTTGTGCAGCTTTCGCTCCTCATTGAATTCGGAGCTCGCCGGAATAAGTCTTCTAGCATCTATCAGTTCGGATGAGGCGGTGGAGATCCAGTGGTTTTTACTCACCTTTGGGTTTACCTTATTCACAGCTTTTACAGCTGTATCTATGGCTGCCTGGATATTTTTCCAAGCTTCTTCAGGGTGAGCACAGCTGTCGAACACAGATATGTGTTTAGCTAGTTCTTCCTCAAATACGGATTTAGTTTCCTGATCGAGCTGGGGACGTGATGGTTTTACCGCCAGCTGTTTCCTACGTCCGTTCAGTCGTAAGCACACCCGAGCGCGGACCAGTGCATGGTCGGTATCTACGCACGTGTTCCAGAAGGAGCGACAATCTCCTACCGACCCACGCCAACGATAGCTTATTGCTATGTGGTCTATTTGTGTCCAGCGTTGGTTTGATGAAGGGGGTCTCCAAGTCAAACAGTGTCTCTCCTTGTGTTTAAAGTTAGTGCTTACAAGAAACAAATGATTATCAGAGCAGAACTGTAGGAGACGGTCACCGTTGTCGGTTCGCTGGCACGGAGCTCCATAGGTGCCACCGACATCCTTCTCAGATTGACACAATTTCCCTACTTGAGCGTTAAAGTCACCAGCTAGAACGACTATGTCTGAGCGTTTAGCCTTTCGCACCAAACTAGACAGCTTTTGGTAGAACTCATCCTTCGTTTCATCTGAAGCCTTGCACTTAGGTTTCGTGCTAGTTGGCGCTCATCATCAAAATATCCACTACAGTCCTACGATAGGTCAATTGCGAGCCTGAATAGCTCAGTGGTAACGTCTCTGACTGCAGCACTGGGTGACGCGAGTTTGAATCTCAAAAGGGACATGAGCTCCTTCAAGTTTGCAGATACCCCTTGCTGACTGGTGAGTGCCAACTAGCACGAAACCTAGGCCCAAGAGTGCCTGCCGGTTTCCTCCAACTATCTAATAACACTTGAAACACCTTATGATTCATTTCGGTTTAAAAAAATTTGATCTAGTCAATTGTTCTAAAATGGACTTCAGCCGGAGAGTAATGGACACCTTCAGATATTTAAATCATCTCAGTAGATTTTACTGAATTTGATAACATTTCTCGCTTTTTTTTGTTTTGTTCTGCATTTTAGAAATACAATTTTGGTGATAACAGTGAAGGGAATATCGCATTCTTACAGCATACCCTTATGGAATTGTGCACTGGTGAATATCAAAATGTTTTAGCTAAATTAATGCAATTGTCAGCCTATACAAGACTTTCTCGAAATTGCCGAATATTTATGCGCAAACATTTTATCAATGTAACCGATGACACTAAAGTTGATGTAAATACAAAAGCAGTTATTGTTAAACTTGTTACAGATATGCGTGAAGCAGAATCATTTTAAAAATCCTTTTCCTTCACTTATTGCATTTGTACAACTCTCTTGTGTAAATTTTTTATCCTGTATTTTCACATATTTACCCAAATAAAAAAGAAATGTTATCAGTAGAACAACACTGCAACTCTTTGTTATTTTCAGTTTCCAGACCTTAGTCATTTGTCTTCAGTACATTAGAAAAAAATTACTCGGTTAACAAATATCTTGGAGTGGTTATTTCAAACTTGGTTATTAACTTTATTCATGGAAAATTCCCATTGTAACCTATAGAAAATCAAAACATGTAATTCAGTGAAGAGACGCTTTTCAACGAGTTTATTGTCAAGCTATACGACACTATATATATATATATATATATATATATATATATATATATATATATATATATATATTGACAAGCGATTTCTCCCCTACCAACCCGACGGAATTCATTTAGAAGTATACGCGAATTAAAGCTTTCTTGGCGAGTTAGTGCAAAACAGACGGATTTCTTTCCGCTTGGGTTTTTGCTAGTGGGATAATGGTCCTTGATATTTGATCGTTTTCTACTCGCCACTCGCCTACCATAGCTTTCGTAGATGCGTAGGGGAGTGGGAGATTGTCAACACTTGAAGTGTAATTTGTGGTTTGTATTAAGGCCGTTGCACTGCACTTATCAAAGTTAAACCTTTTGCTAGTTAATCGTTTGGTGTGGTTGAAGCGAATGTGGTAACGATAATCATAACATTAAAAATGCTGTTTGGATAGTGGTTAGAATAAAAAGCAGTTGACATTATAATGTAAGTTTCTCACACGGTGTTGAAAGTTCGAGGGCGAAATCGTATTGCTTGTGAGTAGGGGATGTATCAGTAATAAGATGTTTCCCTTGAACTAAAAGCTATTATGCCTCTCAGTTCTGGGAAGGGAGAATTTTACTTATCGACTTACCTTGCAGCGGTCCGTGGCCGACTATAAGATCTTATGGACAAATCTTCCATAAAATCTCAAAACAAAGTGTATTATCCGCCTTAGGTGGCTGCCTCCTGAGCTCTTCTGTCATGCTACACTAATGCTCTTTCTGTTTCAAGAGGAAATTAACCTCCAGAGTGTGGGCAGTTAGTAAGTAATAATGGCCCTCACACATTAAGTTCTAATCAGCAGCCACCTTCATCTTGCTTTCTTGTCACCGTTACTCCCACTCCAAAAGTATGCTGTCCGCCTACTTTTAACTCTGGGACCATTAACAACAGGAAAAACACTACCGATAGTCTTTCAAAACTACACTGCCAACGCCATATTGGAGTACTGTATGTCCGGACCCTAGGCCTAATCGGGCCACAGGTCGCACTAGCCCGGTGTGTTCTGGAGACGCGTACACAAGACTCAAGTGTGGTCATTCATTTAACCCATCCTAGTCAATTTGGTGGGTTTACAAATCTCACCTTACTGGTATCATGACGTACTTTAGCTAGTTCGGGTGGAAGTACTGGTGTAGGGCACTAGGGGATAAAAATTCCTACTTGACTGGATCTCAGTTGACAGTTCTATGTAACCTTTCTTACTGAACGGATCTCTGAGGAGAGGGAAAGATTGTGATATCCGTCAGTCTTTTTACGTAATATCCACTAACAACCCAACTGACTGCAGTTCGCACGAAGTAAACGTCGAGTTTTATCAAAAGCTATCTAGTTCGCTGCTGAAGGTGAAGTACTTAGATACAATCACGTCAGTAAGAGATTTCAGTGGTCAAGTAGGAAAGCTGTGTCAGTGATAAAATTGGGTTGGCGACATCTTTTCAGTTCTATGTCGATGAACCGACAGCGGTATTTCCCTTTTACAGTTCTGTTCAGATAATTGTCTGTTACATATCAGCAATAAATTTATTATTATTATTATTTTTCACTTGGGTTCCGAGTGGAGCATTGGACTTCAACAACTTGTCTGGACTTTGTTCTATTTTCCTCCGTCGTCTTCAGCTATTTTTATTGTTAATATTGCTCCCTTGGGTTCCTAGTGGAACATAGGGCTTCAACTGCACGTCTCCATTTTCTTCTGTTTTCTGCTAAAATTTTCGCTTGTATCCATGTTAATCCATATTCTTTCAACTCCTCTTCACACGATCTCCTCCATATCACCCTTGCACTGACGTCCCACTCGCCGCCTGCTTCCCTTTCGGCCTGGTTCCACTCGAACAATGGCCTGGCACGCGATGTCACCCGGCGGCGGCCTCCTCAGCGAGTGTCCGATCCATCTCCACTCCATCTCTTGCATATTTGTTGGTTGGCGATTGGTTCTTGCTTTGTTTGTTCCCATAATTCCTTGTTGGTGATTCTTTCCGGCCATCTGATCTTCAGTATTGAGCCAGCGAAGACAGTTGTTGGTTGATGAAGGTCTGCAACAGGTTGTTGGAAATATTCTTTGTGACCCACCTGCCAAGTTTCTCATTCGTATAGAAGAACTGACTGACTTGACGTTTGTATTGAAAATCCGACTGAATTTTGTTGTTGATGCAGAGTGACGAAGATTTCCAGATTGGTTTCAGGTTGATGATGAATGTGTTTCTCGCCTTCCCGATTCTCGATTTGACATCCTCGTCCGTCCCAACTGCCTGTAGTTGAGACAATTCTCCTTCCCTAGATAAGTGAATGAAGTGACCTCTTTCAAATCCCTCCCGTTGATGGTGACTGGCGATGGATGTTGTTGCTGTTGTTGGTTAGTTATTTTCATAACCTCCGTCTTGTCTATGTTCACCTGGAGTCCTGTCTTTGCTTCTTCTTCAACCAGTTTGTCGGTTTTCGCTTGTAAGTCTTCGATTGTATGTGACATCAAACATAAGTTGCGTGAGAACATCAGCCTCAGTTTTTGGGTCCTTTTCAACAATTCGGGGGTAATTCTGTGTCGCCCCGCTACCTTTCTGGACTTCAGCAGCCTGATAGCATCCAGGATTTTGGCTTTCATCGGAGGATTTGTGTCCACTGGCAGTTCTGTGCGTGCTGTTGATGGTGGTGGTATATGTGGGCGAGTTGCAGGTGATGGTCGACTCAAGAGTCTTTTGAAGTGATAAGCCCTCTGCTTTATTTGTTTCTCCCCCTTCAGAATTAGGTTCCTTTGAACATCTTTTTTAGGATTCATCATCTACGTTGATCTATTCCCGGATAGCGAGCAGCCTTGTTATCTGATATAATGTCCTCAGGTCTTTTACCTGCCACCTGCCTTTTCTGCTTCAGTCACCAGCTAGCGTATCGAGGTTGTCTTTTGTCTAACCTAGCACTCTTCTTCACTTCTTTATTCAGTGCAGTGTACATTGAACTCAGCTTCTCCTTCTGTTGCTCATCTTTGCATTGGCTCATCTTCTGTTTCACCATCCTCTCCTCGCTTCTATTGGCTTCCAGATGGGTGTCCGTTTAGAGCCATTCCTTGTCTTGTCTCTCCTTTCTTCCTAGAAAAACTGTACACATTTCGTTGAATATCGCCTTCAGAGAGTTCCAGTGTTCTTCCACTCGGGTTCCCTCAGTGATGCCACGTAGTGTCTTTACTTCGCTCTGATCTGTATGTGTAGTGGAGGTATCCCTTGTACTTTTGTCCTTTAGTTTCTGAATGCTGAACTTGAGTTGTGACCTGTCTCTATTCGTTTTGAGGGATTTCAGCCTCACCTTGAAGGTGCATTGAAGTAGATGGTGGTCTGAGGCCACATATGATTGCCTTCTCAACTTTGTATCCAGCAGACTAGCTGTCTCTCCACTTCCTTGAGCAATGGTGAGATGAAATCTATCTGGTTCGCGATGTGTTCGTCAGGCGAAATCCTTGTTGCTTTGTGTATCCGCGTGCTCGTACACGCTCCTTCCAATAACCAAATCATTGCAAGCGCAGAAGTCTGAGGACAATACTCTGTCCTCACTCATTTTGCCGAGCCAGAGCCTCTCGACCCCTGATGATTGCTCTCCCTATATTATCAGCTTCCAGTTTGACGTTATATTACACGTAAGGATTTTGATATCATCATCTGGAATGTTGTCCATTGGTGTTTGTAGTTTTCTGTAAAAATCCTCCTTCTTTTTTGTTAAGCGTTGTTTGTAGGTGCGTAGCATTGGATATTTGATACCTTCGTTCCTTTGGAGTTGAATCTTACTGTCATGATCCTGGATAAAATTGGTCCGCACTGCATTAGGGCTTTGGCTGCCACTGGTGACATCATGACAGCCACTCACTGCCTCAGTTTGCTCGTGGTTGTCGTCTGGGTGACCACATTGGAGTAGATTACTGACTCTCCCGTTGACACTTTTGATAATCGACATCCATTCCATATGCTTTCACAGATACCCAGCACTTCTAGGCCATATCTTCGCATTTCTTTGGCTGCCTGGGAAGCCTTCCCAGTCTCGTACATTGTATAGACATTCCACGTACCCATTCTTATTCTTGCTTTCATCGAGAGAAGACTTATCGGCTGACTGGCTTCCCGAAGACTTTCACCAGCCCGCTGTGTCATTTCACCTCTTCGATTCCATCAAAGAATAAGACTGTTATTGAAATTTTCGTGTTTCTAATATATTTTCTGTGCGTTTAAGTTTCTGTAGCAGTTTAAGATGCTTAGTTGTCTAGGGTTGCTATCCCCACACCCGACCCTCCCTCTTTATTCGAGCTTGCGACCGGCTTCAAAACTAGCAAGCTAGTTAACTAAGCGAGGTTGCAATAACTTCAAACATGTGGAAAAACTTAGCCTAACCTGGCAACTTCATTTAAAACCAAAGGTAAATTCAAACTGACCACAAGGTGGCAAGCTATCTATAAATAGATTTGGTAGAAGGTTGTCACTCCTTCTGAAAAATATGTGTAGACTTCGGTCAAGCTGCAGTTTGTGCACAAACATGCCTACGGCTGAATGGACGTAGGAAACAGGTATCCATGAATCCCAAACGCCTTCCAATTCTTGATGCTAAACAAGTCTTTGTTCAGGGGAAAAATAACGTATCGTAGATTGACAGGAATACTCACCCTGAGGGAAATCTGGCATTAGATCCAGTCAGCTGTAGAAACTGTGATGAAAGTTATCAATAACCTGACACCAATGTTTAGTGTGTTTTCGTGTATTTCTGATATTTCATTCAAACTGATACAAAGAAGGAGAATGATTCAGGTGAGCTC